CCTAGCTTCTCCTTCCCCTGTGCCCTCACTGGCTTGGCATCTCTGGTGGCCACCCCCTTCCCCTGGAGGCCAGTCCCCTCTGCCCAGCCCACCCCTTCCCCTCCTTAAGCCGCCTGCTCCACCTGGCTCTTCCTCTTTCTCCACGGGTTCCCTTTCAGCTACGTGAGACCCTGCTGGAATAAAACCTTGCAAAAAGGGCCTTTCCAGCCTCTCTCGCTGAGCCAGCTGTGGTGAGTGTTGTGTGGGGGTTTGACTGCGTTGCCTGAATGTTAACTCAGCCTGCCTTTCACCAGGAGGGGTTTGCTGGGGACAAGAAATAGGCAGCAGCACCTACCATTCTAACACCTGCATTTTTACAACCCTGGAACCTGACAGTGGGACAGCACAGCGATCCAGGAGACTCCTGGGGCACGTGGATAACAAGCCCTGGAACACAGGCAGCTGAGGAACAATCCACGAGGCACTCTGCTGGACCCGAGCCTTAAAAACATGGGAGGACTCTCTGAGGATGTGAAGATCTGCCCTGACTGCAGTGACCATGAGATGGTGAGTTGAGGAGAAGGACAAAACCAAGGATCACAACACTGGACTTGAGGGAAGAAGGCTTTGGCCTCTTTGGGATCTGCCTGGGACATGGGACAGCACCCTAAAGAGAAAGCTCCAAAGGATCTGGTTCCTGCTCAGGGATTGTCTCCTCCAAGGATTATCTCCTCCTGCTCAGGGATTATCTCCTCCAAACCCTAGAATGGTCCATAGGGACAAGCTGGAAGTCAAGCACAGGCAGCAGGAAGTGTGCATGGATGAACACTAAACTCTGACATAAAAGGGAAGTGGAAGCACTAACTTCAAAAACAAGGAGACAGACACTACCAAATATGCATCCTGGTTCATGTGAATTTGTGTGATATATGGGTCTAATATAAAAAAACATCCAAAACAACAAGAGATGTTAATCAAAATAAAGTCATCCTTCAGAGTTAAGAGGGAACAAACTGGTCCAAAATCTCAGGTTTACCATTTTCTATCTTTATATAACTGCATTTAGAGACTTTTCCTCATAATTTGAAGCTGTATAATTTAAATGTGACATTTGTACAGGTACTCAAATGAAAAATCTCCCAAAACATCAACAACCACACCATTACATAAATGAAACAACACCTAACACCTGCAATGATTGAACTTAGGTTATTGCTACCTTTAGTCGCAGCTAGTGTTACTGCATGACCTAGTGAACGTCCTTTGGATCATTCTGTACTGTTCTGTCAATGTTTCCCTTAGGACAATCTTCCTCTCCTGCGCTTCTGCAAATCCACTCAAACAAGGAGCCTATCTGACTGCTTTCTTACACACAAAAATGTTACGTAAAGTGAAGTCACACTAGCAACCAATTCATTTCCAATCACAATTCTTTGCAGTAACAGTAATATTGTTATATAAAATGAGCATATTAAAGTCCCCTTTTAAATAAAATTTTCTAAGATATTCCCTAAAGAAAGATGGAACAGAAACAATGGTTTCCAAAAGAAAAAAAAAAAACTGTTGGTGTTTTCATAACAACTACAGGTTTGATAAGCTGGAAAAAGTAGAAGTCTGTTGTCCAAAGATAAAAAAGAAGTTTATTTCAAAAAGAAAGGTTACACCACAGCAACTATATTGTTCTTTAGAAAAACAGCCTGCTTAACTTCCAGAAAGGGATGATGATGGGAAAAAATGTGTACAACCGCAAGTAGAATTTTCCAGTGGCAATGCAGCACTTCTTCAAATGTGAGTGTGTGGTAAATCAAACAAATAGCAGTGAAAAGTATGATCCAGTTCTCAGTGAATCATCAAAACCATTTGTCTGTAGACAGACCAAACATCAGGAGCCTTATCAGCTAAACAATCTGTCTGAATAATTGAGTTCCTGTTCAGAGCAGTGGAAACCAGGCACTACTTTCCCTTCTCAAATCAAGTGTTCCTTCAGTGATCTGTGAACAAGAGAACATCACCTACTGGACAGGAATGTTAATTTTGCTATTGATGGTTTTCACTGCATTACAAGTTGGAGTTTGGTAGTTTTAAAATGCAGCCTTTGCTTATTTCTACAACTTACTGTAATGTGGCTACAACAAAATTTTAGATTTATAGGATTAAGTGACCACTAAATCTGCATTATCTTCAAAACCTTGTATGACTTACTAGCCCCAAATGACTTAAAAATATGTAGCAACTCACACCTAAGGAAGAGCTGAAGTTAAAAGTTGAAATGAATATATATACTCTGATCAAAAAAATATAAAACTGACATACCAACCAAGCAAATATAAAAATCAGACATACATTTGCACCTGTTTCTCTGTTGCCTAAAATAAGCAATTATAAGGTGAAGACTGCAACTTTATGGTTGCAACACTGCACACAAGTCAAAACCCCTAAAATTACACTTCCCACAGCAATTTTAACTCAGTTCCAATTTGCAAGTAAAGAAGTTAGAAATATACCATGTTATTCTGCCTCTTAAATAGTACAAACACTGAAGCAGGAATGTGGGAATCATAACTCTAATTTTATTAGCTTATACAAATTCAAGATCTCAAAGAGACCATTGCATTAAATATCCAAACAACTCTATAATACCAGTTAACAGCAATCTGTTTATTCTGTTTATGAATCCACTGCTGCCCCTTTACTGTCTCTGGTTGTTGCAGTTACATATGGAAATAATGTTAAGAATGTGAAAATACTACATGGTCTGTTCAATCCTGATTTTTTTAAAAGCTGATTTTATTTAGATGAAACACAGAACTTTTTACTTTTTGGTTTTACGCAATTATAAATGTGGTATGATAACTCTATTGTCATCCATTGGTTAAATGTTAACACTATACCAAAGATTTGGAATTCTGCCTCCCATGCTTAGGAATAGTGATTATCACTAGCCTTCAATTCTTCAATTTTTCAGAACTACCAAATTCAGTTTGGGGCTTTTTTGCACACCTACGATGAAGAAAGTTTTTGATTAGTCCAGAACAAAACTTGCTTCATTAGAATGGTAACCCAGCTTAGAGAAAATATTTTTATGTTCCTGCCTTGCCTTTCAAAGTTATTTTTTTCTACATCAAAAAACCTAAAACATATTTAATTGATGCAATTTTGTGAGAACAAAACTGTGAAAACAAAATTGGGGTAACATAACTGTCACCCTTGACTGAGGCAGAAACCAATAGGAAAAGATACTTTAAAAAATAGAGTAGTGACTTAGTTGACAAAGATCACTGAAATCTTCTCTCAGAACTAAGCACAGTAACTTCTTCAAAAAAAGGGTCTTATCTAAATACCACCTTGTTAAAACAAGGTTTTAACAGATTAACTGGCTTTGTTATATCTAGAGCAGCTTTTGAGAATTCCCTGCCACAAGTGCCAGAAGCCAGTTAATCAGTAAATATAAAGGTGCAGGAAACAGGGCATATTCATGTAAAAGGCAGTTAGAAAAGTCTCCTGAGGCATTCGTTTTATACTTTTTACTCAAACATTAACAGAGCAATTTCATTTAAAAGGAATTAAGTCAATGCACACCTACAGCTTTGGATGCTGGCATCAGCTCCATTGGAAATCTCATCCTGAGGGTTCCCAAAGCCAGAGGCACCACTGCAGTCTGCTTTAAAGTTTTTCAGGTCACCAGCACTGATAACCAGCACTGATAACCAGTGGAACAGGCAGAGCCAGGGGCAGACATCTGTCCTCGGGAGCTGCCAGCTCTGCTCGTGTGTGGCCACAGGTGGTGACCCTCATGCTGCAGGAGCCAGAAGAGGAAGACAAAAGAAACTACAAGTTGTAGTAACAGAAGGCATCCACAATCCAAGTCTCATGAAAGCAACTTTAATAGGCAGCTCTTAGAAGCATGACTCACTTGCCTCCTATGGTTTGATTCTGGCTGTACCCAGAAGACATCAAGAGGAAGCACATGACCATTTCTACAAAGTTAAAGGTTATGACCCTTTTATTGGCATTTTTGAAAACTGCAGTACCTGACTCAAAGAGTTATGATATAGGCTGATAGCTGCAAACTTCAGTAGCATTCCCACTATTCAAATTCACAGTGGTCTTCAAGGAGAAGTAAGTATTAACAACATTCCACCCATTCTATTGTTTAGGACAAGCAATAACTTTAACCACTGTGGTACTCCATAAATCTTGATGGTTTTAAGTTGAACTTCCTTTTACATCATGGTTAAGCAAACATTTCTTTCATTGAGTAAAGCATTACACACAAAAAAGGAAAAAAACACCAGTATTAGATTATTATATTACTGTAAATTCCAGAATGTACTGCTATCAGGAATTCAAAACAAATTGCTACAGCAACCCTTTGAATAAAAATGGGAAACAATACAATAGCTATTAGAGACCATCCACAGCAGCAAAAAAATTAAGTGAAGCTGAGTTACAGACACAAGCTTCTGCAATGCTGAAACATAGTTTGCTTTGCTCTAACACTGGAAGATGACTGAAAAATTTACGGAAAATTTTGTCTGGAATGTGAAACTTTACACATGTATTTAATGGAAGATGTTAACCTTTACAATGGGAACAAATCTAATTCCACTGTCTATCATCTAATTACACTTAACAGATTTTTATTATGCAGCATGAATTATTCCATATTGAAGTTAGGTAAAACAGCACAAACAGTTGGCCATGGCACTCTAGAACATGCTAAGTCATGCTGTTAAAGACAACTACTGAGCAAAGTGGTTTCCTTTTCGTCAGTTTTATGAAATAGCTCCTAACAAGGAAGAGTGTTCTGGGTTACAAAAATGTAATTAGGAAAGTGGGATATTAAACTTGCATTCCTGCTAATGTAAAAAATCAGGCTTTGATCTAAAAACCTTAGAAATTCTTTAAATTCAAAACGCTTTGGAGCAGGCCCACAGATGCTGATAGAATATTTGTTGGACATAAATATACTCTATAAAAAACCCTCCTGAAAATCAAAGATATTACAAGAAAAAAATTACCTGGAGTGTCTTGTAATGATCTTGATGTGGAAGCACTTTTTCTTTTTTTTCCTTCAAGAAATCCATTTCTAGCACACTATGTTTTTCCAGCAAATATTCCAATTCCTATAAAGTTCGTAAAATAAAACACTTGAAATTACAAACACTTGCGAACTGTGAAAATACAGACTCATTAAACCATTCAAACTAATTTAATTTCTGATAACTGTGATATTTGCTTCATTAATTATCACAGAGATAAAAAGAGAAGATTTTTTTTTGCACAAGAGATTTTTCTTGTGCAAGAAAAATCTGACTGCAGTCTTTAAATTGGCACAGTATTTTCAAGTGTGAGGTATTTAAAGCCCAAGGCATGTCCCATGTACAAGGAATGACCTATGAGAAGTGGCCAAGGTGCCCTTAATAACAACCTCTAACTTCTGAACCCTGAAGGGTTCAGGCAGCTGGACCTGTTGTTACAGGTCCCTTCCAACTGGAGCTATTCTATTCTGTTCCAATTATTTTAATATTTTTAGTATCTTGTTCTGCCTTTCTGCACTTGAAAAGCAGCATATTAAATGTACTGTCAGCAAATGTTTTCACTGAAAAGGCAGGAATGCTATGGCATTTATGCATTCTCACAATGATCTCTATCTACATCTCCAAAATGAATAAAATCTTAAAATATTCTGGGATCTTGCAGAGAGCCACTCTGGAAGCCTGCCCAACATGAACCTATAGAGAGGAAGGAGAATAACACCACTGACAATAAACTTCAAAATTATTTGCTGCACAAAGAGCTAAAGATTTTTATTTTTCCTTAATGCACCCATAGCTATTGTACATAAGCTGCTGGCACCCCTTCAGTTGCTCAAGAGCATCTATTTCTCCAAGCCATGCAGGAAGCCAGTGTAGAAACAAAGGACCTGCCAGGTCACTGCACAGCTATTCAAACAAAGGCAGGACCCAGAGGGTCATGAGGAGGACAGAGCAGGTCTTAGTTCAACCCTGCTTTTGGACAAAATCGTCAAAACAGTAGGAGAGACTTCCCTGGTGAGATATAAACAGACTGTGGAACACCAATCAAAGCCTCCCTCTCAACCTGTCTCCTCTTCCAGCCTGTATTCCTACTGGTGAGATAGAAACAGACTGTGGAACACCAAAGCCTCCCTCTCAACCTGTCTCCTCTTCCAGCCTGTATTCCTGCTTCCCTTCAACCTTTCCTTCACACACTTAGCAAAACCAGCCCATTGCAGACCTCCTCATCCTTGGCTCGAGTTATTCACCCTCATTTTTATTTCCAAAAAGCTGTTTTCTCCTTCCCCAGCACAACTTGAGGCCTCTCAAGAAACAGTATTAAGAATAACAGAAGTTAAACTCACTCTCCCATGCCTCAGTGACCTTTTGCTAACTCAGATGTGTAACTGCAGGCACAGCCCTGCTTGGTGCTCATATTGTATTCAGATCAGAAGGAATATGAAGAATTTAGCTACTAGAACTCCCACCCCCCAAAAAATCAAAACAAAGCTCATGCTGAGAAAGCTTATATTTTCTTTATTTTTTTTTTTTGGTCCCTTTCTTTTTTTTATCAGTTAGGCTAAAAAAGTATTTTTTTTCCCGACAGTTTACAAAAATTCAGCCTAAAATAGACACCAGACCTAAAAAAAAAAAGTATTTCAGCTAAATTGAGTGGTATGCCCAGTCCTGGCCAGTCTCTAGAGAGAAAAGGACAATGGAGATGGGGAAGCGTTTGGAGCACAAATCTGAGGAGAAGAGGCTGAGGGAGCAGTGGGGGCTCAGCCTGGAAAAAACAAAGACTCAAGGTGACCTTATCCCTTGTAGCCAGGTGGCGATCAGGCTCTGCTCCCAGGACAAAGGGACAAAACAAGAGGAAATGGCCTTAAGCTGTGCCAAGGGAGGTTCAGGTTGGACATCAAGAGGAATTTCTCCATGGAAAAGGCAGTCAGGTACTGGCAGGGGGTGCCCAGGGAGATGGTGGAGTCCCCATCCCTGGAAGTGTCCTGGGAATGCCTGGATGTGGCACTCAGTGCTCTGTGATGGTGACAAGGTGGGGATCTGGCACAGGCTGAACTTGATAATCTTGGAAGTCTTGGAAGTCTATGATTCTAAATTGGGCCAGTTTCTCTGGAATTTGGCTAATTTCTATTAAAAAAAAATGAATTTCAAATTAGTTTTAAACCACTGCCAGCTCCACCTATATTTACTTCCTATATAAATGCCAAATGTTTTCGTTCAAAATGACTATTCATACCTTTTTGATTTTTAGTTTTTCTTCTTCAGCACTGCAGAGCTTGATTTCAAGGTTTGCAACAGCTTGTTGAAGGCAGCTCTTGGGTTCATTTGCTCTCTTTGTCTCAACATCAGCTGAAGTCTTGTCTTCAGTTGCATCTGAAGAGGCAACTAGAATATCTGCTTGAGCCTAGTTCACAGGAGAAAAGTGGAACTGAATCATCTCTCTCAATGCCTCAGGGAAACAAACTCTCCTTGGATTAGTCATTCCATGTTCTCACCGAGTGCACACTGCAATCAGTGGTCACAGAGAGGGAATACAAAGGGTTTGTGCTAAAATAAATATCTCATCCCTAGGCTAGACTAATAGAATAAAAGTAATCCAGACATCTCTAAACATTTAGTGACTGCTATTTCAGCAAACTGTGGAAGTACAGAAAACAGGTGAAATGCTGATGGTAAGCCCACATTTTCAGAAATAAAGTTAAGATGTTTAAAACATTTTGTGGTATAGATAAAACAATTAAAAGCTTTATTTCTCCCCTTCAAAAAAATAAAGGAAGGGGCAAAAACTTGTTCTTTTTGCCACAAAAGAACTCCAAGGAAAAAACTGGCATATTAATTCAGCTGCCACTCTTTCAACAAGCTGAAAGCCAAGCATGCTTGAGATTTGGGTGGTGAAAGGAACATCTCAGTGTCTTTATTAAAGAGAGGTTTGACTGATCTGACCTAATCCAGCCCCTAGCACCTTTTTATTCCAAACATACATTTAGATAATGCATTGACTTTCCCACAAATATCTCTCAAATTATTCAAATAAAGTAACAAACAAAACCAGCTGAGATCTTGACTGTACATGAATATATAAGATACAGCAGACAAAACAGACAGAAAACTGCAGTTTGTGCACTGAATTCTCCTATCAGAAGCAAAGAGAAGCCATATCTGCCAATTCCATTTCTGAGTAGTACTCAAGATTAGAGTTTGGCACCACCAAAAACTGAGTATGGAACTTGTAACAGGGAAGGATTTTTTTACCTGAGACCTCAAGAGGCTCTGGAGATAGAATTATAAAAGAATACAGTCCTACTACCCTCTAATATATATAATATACCCTCTAATAGGTATAAGAGTATTTTATTTTAGTTTTCTGCCCACCATTTTCCTTTGGTTTACTCCATAGTGCAAAGTCATCTCCATTTCAAAATAATGTTAAAGGACCTGCACTCAACTCCCTCCAGCAGGACTTGTTAATAAAGTTTTTTAATTTGCACTACATACTGCATTACAGAAAATTTATAGAATGATGGGTCTCTCGGTAGCTGAACAGAACAAGATGAGAAAAACTGAAACACAGACTACAACTAGAATTTGCACACACACTTAATCTGAAGTAACAAAGTGTATTTTTTATTTTTCTGTAAGATTACCTAACTAAATGACTTTATAGTTTAAAAAAATACCCCTAAGCCTTAGTGTTCTGGAATAACCCAAGTGCTCTTTCCAGAGAACACAAAAGCTAAATTTGCTGGCCTAGCTCAAACAAGAAAGGTTGAAGGTTATTCACTGTTAGCCAAAATTTAAAAAGGCAGGATCTGTGGTGGCTGAAGAAAATCACTTTTTGATCATGCTTCCAGTAAAAGAAATTTGCTTATCAAAACTTTGTCAAAGAGCCAGATGAAGAGCCTTCAACACAGAAAATTACCGTGCCTGGCATCAGTCAAAAAAGAAAACAAACACTCCTCCCTCTCAAGAAAAAAAAAAAAATGTAACTTTTGGATTTATAAATTTCTTTGGTATCATTTGCATCTGGGCACATCTCTTCTTCACTTTTTATAGGTTTCCCACAGAACATTAGCCTGGGTACAAACACAAAATGGTAACTTATTAATTAATCAATTCACAATTTGTGCCACAGTCTTTCTGGAAGTGTGAACATACAGATGCCCCTCAAAGGAAAAAGATAAGGCTCAATTAAAGCAAAACTTGTATTTTGTGAATTTGGTTTCAAAAGCTCTAAAGAAATGCATTTAAATGATCAGAAAATGAAAATCTGACTTAATTATGAAATTCAACTTTCACCAGGAGCAGCCTTAAGACTTGGTAAGTCTACCTGAAGAAGAAAAAAATCAAGGAAGTGCTGAAAACAGGAGGGTTGACAAATAGCCCGAAATACTGATTGCTTCACAGTGAGGCAAGAGCCTTTTCTAATTGAAGTATGTACTATCCCAGATCCCGAAACAGGGAAGTTTACAATGAATTAAAGTGTTCAAATGGGGGTCACTGCAATTAATGGCAGTAAAAACTCAGAAGGATAAATCTATTTAAGTCTCATCTGCAGCAGTTCTTGTGATTCTGTCAGAATTCTTATGATAATCTCCAAGCAGAAAGGCTTTTTTCTTCCTTGTTCACCTAGTTGTTTAGTTAAAAGTTAAACATTTTCACATCACAGAACGAAACAAAGCTCAGTTCTCAGCAGCGCTGCAGCCATCTGAGAGATTAAGAACCCACAACTAGACCACCAAACAAAAAAATCAACTTTAAAAGTAATGGGGAAAAAACAAAGTAATGCAAAGTAAAATTTAGACCCCCCTAAAACTAATTTAATCATAATTAGGTAAAGATTAAACATTAATTCTTTAATCATAGAATGGTTTGGATTGGAAGGGATCTTGAAGATCATCTTGTTCCAATGCCCTGGCATGGGCAGGGATGGGACGCCTTTCACTAGACCAGGCTGCTCAGAGCCCCATCCTGAAAATCCTAAAAACCTAGTCCTCAAACCACTTGAGAAAACATACAAGTATGACAAGCTTTAACAGCAGCCAGTTTTTTTGAGAGAACCTTCCTGCTGATATTTCCTTCATGCATGCCCAGCACCATCAGCATGCCTTCAAGTTTTAGTAACTCCAATACAGTTACCTCTTTTCTAGTTCAGATCAAAGTAGTATGGTTTCTATCAGTTACAGGTTTCATAAACAATCTAAGAATTATCTTACTTCAAAGTCTGCATCACAGAAATCCAAGGACCTTTTGCCCTTAAAAAGCATTTCAACCTAAATGTGCACAGAAAAGATACAACACTGACATTTAATACATTGAATTCTCACACTGAAGATCAAAAATTTACCTGTTCTTCAGGAACAGCTGGATTTATCACATTCTTGCCTGTTTGAATAACTGTTGCCACATTATCACTTGATAAAATGAAAGAGTCAGAAGGAAGCAGGCAGGAAGAAGGCACAGAGTGCTCCAGGAGAACATCAGATCTATGGACTTCAGGTACTAGAAACAGAAAACACACAATATGAAGACACACCCAAAAATTAATTTGTTTCTGGAGTCCATGCCTAGAAAAACCCATCACAAGTCTAGTCATACCAGTGTAAGCTTATGTACCTCTTATAATTCAATTGCACTGAAAAGTAATTCCACTCAAAGTGCCTGTGTTTTTCAGCAGTATCGATTTAAGGACAATCAAAATCATAGTCACAATAAATTTAGACTTTTCATTTACACAGAGGTTTTACAAGACAACAGCTCTCAAAAGGATCAGTTTTAACTCTGTCTCTTTTGATTCACACAGCCTTACAGCTTCAGCGTGATCTTTAACCTGTTTCAGTCAACAGGAAAACTATACTTATAATTTCCCAAGTTTTATACATTTTTAAGCTAAAATAATCCACAACAATCTTAGAAGCCACAAACAAACAGCTTGCCAAGACACACAATAAAACAGCTTTATATTTTTTAAGATATAAAAAGAGAACAAAGTAAGTAACTCTCTAGCTAATAAAACTGAAGTGGAATCAACTCTGGACTGAGAGCTCTTCTATACCAAATTACAGTTATGCCATAAAAACCTTCAACAGTGGATCAGCATTACCAACCCAGCACAAGAGAAAATCTTGGTTTTAAAAAATACATAAACTAAACAAACTAAATGCAAAGAAAGAAAAAGATAAAGCTTTGCACACATTTTTAACTTAACAGCAAAGTCCTGCAAACTTTGGCATGGTCAGCTCCAGGTGTGTCTTTGCAATAGGCAAAAAAGCACATCCAATTGTTTCAGAAAAAGCAGCTCCCATTATTATTACAACTCTGGCAAGATGTAAAAGATGCCACTAGCCTGGAGCAAGGCTCAGCCTCTGTTTCATACTGCACAAGTACTCAGCACAAACCAGAGTGTGTAAGTGGCCTCGAGGCATTCAAAAGGGCACACTAATCCTTGAATCCAGGATTCTGGATTCTCTGTCCCATCTTCTTCAGCTGCCAGTTCTAGCATTCAGGTATAACACAGAGGAACATGCAAACCACATTGAATGAAAGGAAGAAAGAAAATAGACCATGAGGTAGAAAAGTATCAGTAGGGTAACTTCAATGACAGTAGATCTGGATGTGATCAAAAAAAAATAAGAAAAAGAAAAAATCAGAGCTCAGCACAAGATGGAAACTTGGCTAAAAAGCCTAGAGGAGAGTATTTCAGCAAACAGAACAGGAACTGGTTTAGGTAACTGCATTTTAATAGTTAACTCTTCTCCAGAAATAGAAATGGGACTTTTTTGGCTTTCTTTTAAGTACCTTAAAATAGAAGTCCCCTCCCACTCCAAATGTCTCCTTTCAAAGGCAGCTTCCTGTAACAATTACCTACTCTGTTAGTTCAAATGGCAGTGAAACGACAGAGAAGATGATCTTTTTGTATCTAAACAAACCTTAAAGTCTCAGCTTTATGCTATCACTTAATGGCCTGAGTCTCAATTTTAAATCAATTTCTATCTGATGGAAAAGCAGCTAAAATAATGTACCAGGCAATTTCTGAACAAGCAAGCAAGTGGTTCTCTTACTAAAACTGTCAGCTCACATGGAAAAACTGACCATGATCCTTACGATGAGAGTGTTCAACCTTTGGTGAGGATTACCATAGCACAGGCATAGTTCACATATGAATAATTTATCACAAAAGTAAAAACAGAAATGGAGACTGGGCACATATGAGGAATGTAGCCTTGCTGAGATTAGAGCTTTAGGTATTCACAAATTTTGGGGTGCCCAATCCTAGAGACAAAACACTAGAGTTTTATGTGGAATCTTCTACAATCAGGTGGAGCTTTCGGTAGTTCTAATTATAGTAATGAATGCTTTGCCTCTTGAAGGGGAGAAAAAAAACAAACCAGAAACAAAATCCCCACGTCAAAATGAAACCTAGGAAATGAGGAGCAACCACTGGTGAGCACTTCTGAACATTTTGGTTTAAAATTTTCAACTAAACACATGACCTTGCAGAAGACAAGAAAAGGTGGCAACTTTCCAAGGTATCATTCAGACATCTTTTATTGCAAAACCTTCTTTTTACTTTTCAGTAATGCTAAAGATTCATAAATTAGACATTCCTAGAACTATATGTGCTATGTCTGTAATTCAAGCTCTCTTAATTCATTCCTCTTGTGTATATACTGGTGAAATTGCATTTAGTTCAGCTCAAAATCCGCTTATAAAGAGAACCCCTAAATCATTCCTGCTTACCATGCCTTAGTTACCATAATGGAACAGTTTCACAACCCCTGAAACAAAAACTTGCCTCTGTTGGAACCACCTGACCTGACTTCAGCAGGCTAAGTCTGATGAATTTTCAAATAAACTTATTGTTCAATAATCAAAGCTGCAGCTCTATAGAGAAAAGAAGCATTCACTCAATTGAAGGTATATCAAAAGTCATACCACCTGAAAAGGCTGAAATAAGATGCAGATATTGCCAGAATTGTACTTTAAAATTATCTAATAATTTCTGAAGACCAGGCTTCCCAATATTAAGAATATTCTGTCATAAATTTGTAAGAACTGCCAGAACCATGCAGTTTGCTAATAGCAGCAGAGATCAGGGACAGCCTGCAAGCTTGCTAATGCAAGGAAAATTCTGTGTCTTTATGCTGGCAATGCAGCTTAAACAATTATTAAAATTCCCTGGGGATCAGAAATTCTGAAAACAAAACCAAATGGATGAACATGAACTGTTAAATCAACATTCCAATTGAGTCTTATCCTTCGTACTGAGTTTCAGAATGAAGACGTGAAATATCAAATGTATCACATGGGTAATATTTACTAATTGGATGTTACTCATATCTAGCAATTAAGAAGTAATATGACAGCAGGGCTCTGAGCAAAAGACCATATATTAATTATTTGACATATTTTTGTAGAATGTTGCAAACTACTTGTAGCATAGTTCCCCTACATGTAGGTTTCAGCTGTTAAAAATAAAAAAAATAAAAAAAAAAACCAGAAACAAAATTAAATTTCCTTCCTCAACTCCCCTTTCTTGATAATATAATTCAAGGACACTTTCAGTTATACTGCATACACTGAAAATTCTATCCCTAAACATTTTCATTATAAGTAACACTCAGGTAGAAAATTTGAGTTTAAAACTGGTTTGTGACCACAGTGGGAAAAACCACTCTGATGCACCCTCAAGATGATTTCTGGTAACTCACAGCACAAAGCTCTTCCCCACATTTTATTCCTCCAAAGCCAAACTATTCTAGAAGAAAAGTAATTGCATCTACTACTCTAACATTTTAAATCTACAGCCACGTGGTCCATACTACCAAAAAAAAAAATAGTAACAAGCTCAAGACCAATTTCAAGGGCTGTAATGAAGTTACCACTGAGGGCCTTAGAAATAATTTCTGAATTCTGCCTGCACACTTAAAAATACAGCCACAGGCTTCAGTGTTTTGTTTTATAACTTCAAACAGCAGATATGTAGGAAATTCAGAAGACGAGTAACTCCTCCTCTGGAAAGTTTATCAAATCTTGGGTGCATACAATGTTTTCAGCCCCCAAATTTATCAAAAATCACCTCAATAGCACCATAATACATTTGAATTTTTCAGCAAGGCCTTACTAAGAAATTTCTAGGGTCAGACAGGAACATCTTTATATATAGATAACATTGGGCAGACAATTCAGTTAATTCTGTTACTAAAAACATTCATCTACAAGTCAGTGCCCAAGAAACACTTGGCCAATACTATTAAAACTTTGCCTATTGCAATAAACTAATTTATTCACAGCAATATTTGCATGAAAAAGTCACATAAAGATTTTACAGTAACAAAATATCCAGAATACAGGAGTTTTCTTTTAATTTTGAAATGCTTAAAATACCTTGGTATAACTTATCTTATGACTTCTGTGTCACTTAAAATCATACAAAAAGCTTCTGTGTTACGTACAAATAATTTTAATTCTACACACCTTACAGGATTTTAATGGACTTCACTGACAGACACTGCCCAGCTATATTGGACTTAATTTATTAAACACAATAAAACATGCTTCTGAATTTCAGCAGTAATTTTAAATATCAGTCAAAATGACAAGATGAATAATAATGTTATTTGGAAAAATATTGTTTCCTTAGTATTTGTTTCCCTCTGTTTCAATGACAAATAAAACTAATTATTCTGTAACAGATAAAAGCCAGAAATAAATTAATAAAAACATTTTAAGAACATGATTTATAGAGAGCTCATGTTAAGAAAAACCCCTGCCTTATTTTGCATAATTTATTCTTCATAACAACACAATGTGGGTTGTTGGTCATTTTTCCCTGGTGCAGCAAAAGTGCTGTTTTGTTTTGTGGAAAGGGTGAAATCTAGACCACAACAAAATCGGTAACACCTCCATAATATTTTAGTTCTACTGATAATATACATTTATCAATTTCCTAAAATCCAGACAGGCACCAGGCAGTGTAAAAATTAATAAATCAGTTCCCTAATGTTTCTGCTTCTGCTTGAGATAAAGAATATGTAATATATTTTTCAACTATATAAATGGTTGAAGTAAAAACGATCATTCTCATCACTCCCATCATCCCCAAAGCAAGTAGAAGACTTCATCACAATCCTATTTTTAACTTTTCTGTTTTCCCACAATTTGCAACAGATCTTCCACACTCTGTAGAAAAGACTATCCTTTGAATGAAGAAGTTCCATTCCTTTTCTACTGTATAAACTGAATTTCTCTTTCATTCCTCTCTAAAGTTTAACTTTGAGAAGTGCAGCTTCCCAAAATAATTGCTCAGGAACATTCTTATGCTCAGGTTTTGACTGCTGGCTACTCTTTTATTGTGCATTATTTTATTGTATACACCCTTCTAAGTCCTGATTTTTACAGTGAGTACATAAGGACAGGAATAGAATATTAAGATTTTTCACAGTGACTCTCTCAATACCTGTAGGAAATGCTGCCCAAGCAATAGCAGGAGATGTGGTCTGCTTTTCACCATTTCCAAACTCATAACTCTCTGCTGCCTGCAAACAAGAAGAAACTGTTACATATTTTATAAAACTCTATAAATGTCCATAAAATAGTTGAAAATTGTTAAATTTCAAAGCAAAGTTATCCAAACAGCATACCTCAAAGCCTCCAAAGTCATCATCATCCATCTTTCAGCAGGCACTAGAACACAAAAGAAATCTTGATTTTAAAACATTTTCATAACCTCATCCCCTGCTCGCTCAGAAATGAGCATTCAGTCTTTCCCTCCAGTCTCATCTCCACAGTCCACCCGAAGTCTCCATCATTTTTAAGTCCTAAAACAGATAAAGGGGCCTAAATAAGAACTTTTTCACACAGAAGATGCAAGGCCAAGAACTGCAAGATCTCACTTAAGAAGCGGTTTTTTATTGATCGAATAAAATAGTAAACATTGGGTGTTTTACAACAGAACTTGAATAACTTCAGGGGAAAACACAATCACTGCCCATCAACATAGTCCAACATCTTTTGAAAGCAAAAATGCAGGAAAAGCTTCCTCATAGAGGAAAATAGGAAGATGTTACCTAAAAGTTATAGCTAAAGATTTCAGGTATAGTAAACTGGTCCCTGTACCTCAACAAATGGTACTACAACCATCAGATAATCTAGTCTGGAAATATATATATATATATTAAAAATCAAACAAATAAATTCATAAATATGTCTAGGAAATAGGATTTCTGCCCACCAGATTCCAAATTGAAGAGTTATCTCTACTCATAAGGAAAAAAATCTATCTTAATGCAGTCACGATCTACCATGGACCTCGCATAGTTTTGTGTTTATGATTTAAAGCATAAAAAATATTTTCCATTGTTAAGTTGCTTTTCCAAATCAGCACTGTGATTAAATCCAAAAAGATTTCCTGCTTTTCCCATATCTTCTTAGCTGTCTGGCAACATCAGAACAAACTGCAGCTTGGAAAAAGACTGTGGTGAATTTCTGGAAATTTTTCTGCTACCACAGAGGTCTGTCCCTAGGTTTCGTGGAGGGACTGATTAAGATTTTACAAACTGATCAGCATTTTTGACTTGCAGCCCTGAATTCTGTGGCATTTGGATATATTTATAGTTAAATTGCAGTTCCTTTAAAAAAAAAAAAGCAGGCTAAGTTACTCAGCTAATGAAACTAACTCAAGATACACAAAGCTGTTGAAAGAAAGGTATTATGTATTAACAAAATATATATATCTGTAATTCTGATAGGTAAATGAAGGATGATCCAAAAAACCTATATGGTCTTTTTAGGATGTTAAAATGTTTATAAAGCTAACTGACTTCAGTTAAAACAGTCTATAGGCTGGATAAACTTTCACTACTGCAGAAAAAAATGTAAAAGGACTGTTTACAAGAGAGTAGGTTCAGATTGCATGTCAGGAAGAAATTCTTTAATGTCGGGGGGGGGGAGGCCCTGGCACAGGTTGCCCAGAGAAGCTGTGGCTGCCTCATCCCTGGAAGTGTCCAAGGCCAGGTTGGATGGAGCTTGAAGCAACCTGGTATAGTGGAAGGTGCCCCTGCCATGGGACTGGGTGATCTTTAAGATCCCTTCCAACCCAAACCTCTCTGTGATTCAATGATAAATCATCACTATCACAGTGTAACTAGAAATATTTGTCTAAATTGAAATACTGTACAATAGTCTCATGTGGCACAAGAACTAAGTATCTTTCTAGGGACTATGAGGTGTTTGTTGGGTTTGTGTTGGTTGGGTTTTGTGCTGGTTCATTTTCCAAGAGACAAAGAAGGTAGCTGGGTATTTTTCCAATCGGTGTTAAGGTTAATTTGTTAAACATTCATGCAGTCTATCAACATTCAGAGCTTTAACAGACAGCTGAAGAATGCAGTACGTGTGTGCACCGGTGATGGATGGAGATTGTGTGGACAGCGCAGGACTGCAGATGGAGACAGCACAAACTGAGAATGTCGCTGTACTCATGCCACATTCTGGGAAAAACCACCCAAACCAGACTGGTGATTGACACAATCACTGCACAACCCAGTGTTCAGACACCAGGCAGAGCAGCCAGCTGGAGAAAGTGAGCCTTTAGGAAGGCAAACAGGTATTTTATCTGTTCTATCTGTGATACATTCTGTATCACATCAACAGGTCTTACAGGCTCTACACCAAGTTCCTTCAAAGCAGATCTTCTCCACAAAGTGCATGAGACCTTATTCCCATCATCTCAGAACTGGTTATATCTCAACCAGGGAAAGTACATTCAGCACTGTATTTTAAAAAACACAAACTGGAACAAGTTCAGAGGAGTTCAACAAGAATTAAAGCAATTTTGCAAAGGCATGCTAAAATGGAGAGTCTCTAAAAAAATAAAAGGCAACAAAAATAGAAAATATGTAAAATCATGTTCTAAGAAGTGATTAACTACTTTGATTTCTCTTCAAATACAACACTGACCTGAGGCAGTAAAGACAGAAGGCCCTGTAAGGAAAACATGTGAGGATTTCCATTTCTCCTTCAAGAACATTTATAAGAAACTATGCATAAATAAAACGGAACTTTTGATAGAGAAAAAGAATGTAGGGCAGAAGAAAAACTGGAGAGCAACCTGTTATTGAATCCATCATCTTTTTTACTGCATTTCATATACAGTTTTTTAAGCCTGGTAACAATCCCAGGACTATTCTGACCTAAGATTACCTTTACCCCACAAATTTTAAACACAAATATTTTGTGGCTGTAACAGCATGATCAATTTATGAATTATTCCACATATCACTCCAATGGAACAAAAGATAAACAAACCCCAAACAAGTCTCTGTAGTACCAATGGTGTTTTCACACCTAGATGCTAATCCTCCAATTTCCTGTTCTTCAAAAACCCCACAGGAATTCCAGGTCAAGTGATTCTCTCCCAGGTGAGAGAATTCTAGGTCTGCTTGCTCTTTGGGTGTGTATAACATATATTCATACATGTATATGCACCTCTGTTTCAAAATGAAATCCTGATTTGTTTCCATGCTTTGATTGCTGTGGACAAAAAAAATAAAATCTAAAAATACCAGAAACTTGACGTGTGTCATAAATATGCAGGCACCACATTAAGATAGAAAGCATGGAATAAATCCTGAGGGGTGCTGATATAAGGCACTTCAAAAACTCAAAAAGGCACTTCAAAAACTCAGAGGCTGAGGTTCTCTTCAGAGAGTGTTGGTGCAAGAGTTCTTATTAGGCGATGCATTTCCCAAAACTATGATCTCTTCTTGCATAAAATGGAGCCTTCTGCAGGGAATAGGGCCACATCAATGTAATAGAAAATGTTTAGAAAAAGAAATAGGAGACATTCACAGTCCTCAAAGTACATGTGCATTTAGCTCTAAAAATGTATTAATAATTCGTTATAAATTTAACTGATAACAATGCTGAAAATCTGACAAAACACAAAATTTCCCAATTCTATCCCTTATTCTCAAGATGGAAATACATTTCTGGTACAAATGAATAACAGAAGTAGCCTAACACCTCTTCTTAGAGCTGCAATAAATCCGGGAGCAAGTTCTTTTAATCAACCATCTATTCCAAAATGGGGAATCAGACTTTTCTTTCCTCACAGGGCAGGAACATTATTTGTGGCACTGGAATAGGAAGGAATACATTAAGTGCTGACAATCCTCAGGATTTGAAAAATAACGGAAAAAGACAAAACAACCCACACAGTCTTACCATGACTAAATGTGGTCTCTTGAAATATGCCCGATACTGGAATTAAGTAACTGTAAAATTGGGCAACAAGAAGTCAACCTCAAAATTACAGAGTCATAGAAATTATGGTTGGAAAAGACACAGTAGGTCATCCAGCCCAGGTCATTTCCAAAACACTGCAGTTCTCAGACAATCATGTCCTAAAAGGCTTGAGAAGCTCTCCAGTCACATGCCGTGAAAAGAAGGAAACTTTCCATGGACAATGAATATGCAAGCCACTGAATTTTGAGAAGGTTTTATCAACAAGTTTGAATCCACCAAATGGAACAGTAAATTCTGCCAAAATTCAGACCAGCAGGTCATCCAACCCCAGCTCCTGCTCAAAGCAGGGTCAACACTGCATTTCAGATGAGGTTGCTCAAGACTTTCTCCTGCATGGCTGGTAAGGCTGCATGTTGGATTTATTCAGATTTATTCTCATACCTGAGAAGCTTACAAGCTTTCCTGTGCCAAATACAGTCCCCAAAGCCTGGACAGCAGCCTAAAACAGGTCATGACAACTTTGTGAAATGCACTTACCTAACAGACACACCAAAAGCATGTTTTTATACACAGGAAGATCAAGAGCCATTCCCAAGAAATACGGCAGAAAAATGTAAGCCGGGAAAAAAAAGCCCCTCCTTCCCATTCCAACAGTTAGGGGGAGAAAGAATGTTGTAATCCCACCAGAGATCCTGGTATTCTTCATATCCAGAAGGCAAAAGTGGTGGAAAGACCAAATTGTGAATTAGGAAGAATTCCTCATTCACATCCCCCTCTGGTTAGTGAGAATTCAAATTAATCAAGTCTTGATAATCTAAATTTGTCTAGGTAATTGAGATCTGATTCTGCCAGGTACAATCAAGTGACTTCTGTATAACCTGGCCTATAAATTTGAGTTTGAGGCCAGATTTTGTACATTTTAATGGAAAAACTGGCAGAATATACTGCTTTTTGTTTTGTCAGAATGGTGTATGTGGAGCTGCCTGAGGGTGGGGCTGCTGCATTTGTATTTCTGGCAAACCCCAGGGTAACTCCCTATCTATGACAACCTGTCAGTTTTACTTTCATTCTTATGTTTCCTAAATGCCTCATCCAATGTGTTCAGTCCAGGACAGGCCATTAGCTGTCCCTTGACTGGACATAACACAGACCACAGCATTTGAAGAATAAATTATTGGCCAATACTGCAGGTTCTAAAAAGTCTACTCAGGATAAGTATGTGAGATGTAAAAAAAAAAAAATATATATATATATATATATATATATATATATAAGAAAAAGAAAACTAAAAAACCCCAATCAAACAAAACTAAAAAGATGTCATTTAGAAAGCATGTACAGTGGCAATACCTTTGTGATAAAGAGCAGGGCAGATAATAAATTTCTGTATCACCAAGGTCTAACTAGCTCACATGCACTTTTCCCCATGGCTTTCACCAAAA